GAGAGAGAGAGAGAGAGAGAGAGAGAGAGAGAGAGGGGATGGTTCCAGGAGTAGAATGAACAGGCACAGACTGGAATCTGACTAGGAGATTATGGGCAAGAGAGATCTAAGAAAGAGTTGTTCCCCATAAGAGCAAGCGATGATTCGGGTGAAGACGGTAGTAGGTAAGGCTTGGACCCCACTGGCCGGCGGCTGGCCAGTGGGGTCCAAAACGTTTCCACGCTGCCGGCCAGTGGGGTCCAAGCCTTACCTACTACCGTCTTCACCCGAATCGAACGCCCGGTCATTATAGCTGTATTCGGAGCTACTTTCCGTCTAGATACAGGGATAATGACCGGGCGTTCCTTTCGGGTGAAGACGGCAGTGGGGACCATCACTGTTGAAAATATGGCAATATGAACGAAAAATAGCCAAAGAAAAAAAAAGAAAATGAAAGAAAAAACATGACAATACCCATCATATCTCAAGGCTTGCCACGTGGAAGTCTTTAATAGAACAGCCAGCGGCCAGTATTTTGAAGTTTAGGCCTGGACCCGACAAGTTTAGGCCTGGACCCCACAGGAAAAACACGAGAAATGTTTCCAACTTTGGGTTTCCATGGAAACCCGGCTGGAAAAGTTCGCCTGTGGAAAGGCGGGACCCCACTGGAGAGGCTGGAAAACGCAGTTTCCAGGAGCTTGGAAAGTCTGGAAACTGCAAATGGACCGTGCGGTGGTCATGGATGTCCGCCCCTGCTTCGACAGACCACTTCGTGGCGGCCCCGACCGCCCCTCCAGCAGTCGTCCTGGCGGGGAGTCGTTTGTGGGTGACAACAGAAAGTCCGTCTACCGACTGGACGGACCACGGGACGTGCAGGCTCGGACCACAGTTGGACCACCACTTTCCACAAGAACTTTCCAAGAGAGAGATGCCCCCCCCCCTACCCTCTCGAAATGGCACAAAATTCCGGCGCAAGATGATCGCGTGCCGCCACGACACCACGATACGAAAGTTAAAACACGGAACTCCACTTTTCCGAACAACCTTTCCGACGGGGTCGGGTCTCCGACAACAGCCGGAACCTCCCACAATCGAGTTTCCAGACGGCCATTTTATTCCGATGTACTCCAGGAAAAGTTTTTCCACGCCATCTTTTCCAGGACTTTTCCACGATTTTGTCCTGTGGGGTCCAGGCCTTATTCTCATCGGCTTTTTTTATGTTCGGAGCAACTTTCTGTCTAGATACAGGGATAATGACCAGGCGTTCCATTCGGGTGAAGACGGCAGTGGGGACCATCGCTGTTGAAAATATGGCAATCATCGCTGTTGAAAATATGGCAATATGAACGAAAAATAGCCAAAGAAAAAAAAAGAAAATGAAAGTAAAAACATGACAATACCCATCATATCTCAAGGCTTGCCACCTGGAAGTCTTTAATAGAACGGCCAGCGGCCAGTATTTTGAAGTTTATTCTCATCGGCTTTTTTTATGTTTTGCGAGACGAATAAGCAAAGCGATAAGGGTCCCTAAGGCTTGSACCCCACTGGCCGGCGGCTGGAAACTGGTGTTGGCCATAAAAAATGGCCGACCGTGGTTGGAAACATTCTTCCTCGTTTCATTGGGACCCCACCGCAGGCTGATAGTTCGGCATTGGAAAAGTTTGGGCATACCCGAATAGGAAATCGCAGCAGGGTGTTTCCCAAAAAGGCAAGCCCGGCGGGGGCTGTGGTGCATGGTCTGCTTGCGCAGCCAATGAAGTGTCTACAAAACGCCACGACGTCCAGCCCGATCCTGGAAACTGTTTTCCATGGCCCCCCCCCTACTCGTCTGGAGGCGTCCTTGGAAACTGTTTGGAAACTCGTCCCCAACAATTTCCAGACCGCGAGCCGAGTAGAAACGCCCCGTCAGCTTTTCCACGACCTCTTTCCAACCGCAGTGGGGTCTGTAGGTAGGTAGTGTGAGGAAAAATTGAGAGAAGAGTATAGTTAAAAAAAAAAAAAA